TCCTTCCCTCCCTCCCTCCCCCCCTCCCTCCCTTCCTCCCTTCTTTTTTTGACAGCGCTAGCCTGAACCTCTGACTAGCCATTTAGAGTACTGGGATTTGTAGGCATGCGTCACATGTGGGCACTGATTCAGTGTCCGTGGAAGCCCACGGTGGGACAGCTGTCCAGGAGGCCTTAGAAAATGATACATGTGTTTCCTGCTCAAGGGAGTTTATTAAAAGCTATCACAGTACCCAACAAAGTAGCTACAAATGGCACCCACGGGTTACGGAGGAAATAAGAAAACAGAGCCTGACCTGTGTTGGAGGAGGAGCTAGTGTAGATGGACTGGACTATGAAGGTCTCTTTGAGGAGGGTGATATTTAATTTGAGAATTTAATGGAGAAGGCACCAGTTAGGAGACAGGCTGAAGGAAGATAGAACTATTGAAGAGATTCTCCTATTTGGGAGGGATCAGCTTCATATTAAAGCCAACAAAAGTTTTTAATGTATAAACAAAATATGCACATATGTGCACACACACACACACACACACACACACACACAAACACACACACACACCAAACTGTGACTTAAAATTCAGGATTAAAGTTGGGTGTAGTGGCAGTACACATCTGAAATCCAAGCACTGAGGAGGAGGAGACAGAAGAATCAAAAGTTCAAGGCCATCTTTGGCTACTTAGTAAATTCAAGACCAGTCTGGGCTACATGAGACTGTGCCACAAACAAATCTGGGTTGATTCGACATGCTGTCATATCATTAGTACAAACACTTATCCATGATTTTTTTATTGACTCTCTCTCTCTCTCTCTCTCTCTCTCTCTCTCTCTCTCTCTCTCTCCCCCCCTCTTTCTCTTTCTCTCTTCCCCCTCCCTACCCCCCTCTGCCTTCCTCCAGGCAGGGTCTCTCTGTTGTGGTAGGTTGAATGTAACTGGCCCTCATAAGCCCAAAGGGAGTGGCCTTGTTGGAGTAGGTGTGGCCTTGTTGGAGTAGGTGTGGCCTTG